GGCCAAGAGCTAATGGACTCAGGTTGGGAGTTCCTTGCCCACTGGGACCCTTGCTAGCAGTGCCAACGCCCACTGTGCGCTGCCCAATTAAATGTAGGAAGTGGCTCTCCCTTTATGGAGCAAAAATAAATCCCAATGTTTCTGAGAATGTCATGGCTCCCCCTCAGCCCCACAGTGACCCAGGGGCACAATTAGCAGGCCGATTCAGGGACTCATTATGGGAACAGGGTGAGCGGGGCTGAGTGAGTGGGCGGGGCAGGCACTCTCCCAGGGAGACAAGTGCAGGTGGAGAGAAGATGCAGAGGCCGGATGCGGCTTCATTAGGGGCTGCCCGGGGAATAGCTGAGATGCAGGACCCAGCAGGAACTCCCCCTGAACTCGCCTTGGCTCCTCTCCCTCTCCCCCAATCCCACACCAACCCCCTGCGTTGCTAATTTAAAACAAAGCAATATAGAGCCCCAGCCTCAGCTTCGCTTCGGAGCCTTAAACTGCAGAGATTTTATCTGTCAGTAAGCCCTGCATCAGCTGGCAGTGGCTCAGCCTGGATCCTGGGGCTTGGCGTTGGTGTGGGGACAAAGGAACCAGAGCTGAGCCACCTCCAGGGTCTCGCTGAGGACACTACCCCTTGTTGGGGCACAGCAACAAGAGTCCTTGTGGTCACCGGGCTCAGAAGGATAGCAATTCCACCTAGGATCCAGGAAGAGATATAGAGGGGTTCCACCTAGGAGCCAGGAAGAGATATAGAGGGGCTGAAGGCGAGAGAGAGGGAGAGAGGGAGGAAGGGAGGGAGGGAGGGAGGGAGAGAGAGAGAGAGAGAGGCTATAGAGGAGCTAGCTGGGAAAAGCCTCATCACTGGGCTCATCACCTCCCTTCATCCTTTCCTTGCTGCCTCTTCCAGGAAACCTTCCCAGCTCTCCTCTGAAATCCTACTGACTTGGAATCTAGGATATAAAAAGCTTGTAAAATAGTGGTTTTCAATATTATCTGGAAACTTAAAAAATAAAATATCAGGAAGTCCAGTTGCTGTGAATTAAGTGTTAGCATATGTCTAGGGTGTAGAACCCATCTGTTTTTTGTGTCGACCCCTGAGGGATGGAGGGGGGAGGGAAGGATCTGAGAAGTATAGCTTGGAACCACTGGTCATGGCTACTACCTTTTTTACAGTAAGTAGCAAGCAGATTCTCTTTTACACAATTCCTGCTTCCTCTGTTTATGGACTGCTTATTTTGTGCCAGGTACCTAGGGAACCACTTACAATCTGTTAGCTCATCTAATCCCCAGCTCAGGCCCACCAGGTGGGACTGTGACTGTCCACATTCTGCAGAGGAGTTCGGTTTGACGGTGGGGTCTGTGTGTATTGTGAGGCCCTGAAGGTGGGCCTGGAAAGGTGGGAAACCAGGGGTAAGATGATAAAAGTCCCCGTGTGCAGGCAACAGGAGACCAGGGGACCCACGGGAGCAGGAGGGAGATGCGGTGCTCCACATTGATGGGCCCAGTCCTATAGCCAAGGAGGAGGGAGCCTGTTTGCAGCAAGCGGACAGGCAGTGGTGAGGCTGATCCAGGCAGAAGGGGCAGGGGCGGTGGGGATGGAGAGTCAGGGATGATTTGAGAGACATGGGTGGAAGAGGAACAAATGTTGGCGAAAATTGAGAAGAGTCTTCAATGTGGGTGTCAGTTATGCAGGGCCCCCTGTTTTTGAAAATTCACAGAGTTTGCACTGCTGGGTATGTGTTCTATTTTAATTTAAAAATAGAGTAGGAACCATCAGAGTGAAAGTAGAGTAGGAAACATCATTAAAGTCTCTCCTCTGGGCGTCATCCAGGACACCAAAGTGGCTCTCAGAATTTGCCTTATAACCCGAGAGCTGTTTTTCCTCACACAGTGCACGTTTGCTTTGTTTGGAAGCAGAGGAGGAAAAAGATCTGAGCTTTGAGTGGAACTTTGCAAAATGGGGGGACTTGGCTACTAGTCCTCACATTTACTGCCATTGACTAGGTTCTTGCAATATTTCATGGAGGCTAAGGCACGCTTTGTTTTTTAATATTGTAATGTCTCTGAAACCAGGATGCATCATATAAAAAGTGACATGCCATAATTAATTAGCTGACTGTGTTTTCTTTCTTAGAAACCCATAGAATATAACCCAGAGTCTTGTATTCAAGGAATAGGATAGTGCATGGCAGGCCCTCTTGTGTACACATTCGTCATGCAATCCTCACAACATCTTACGAGTTATCGGCTGTTGTGAGCCCTTTTTCCCAGATGAGGAGTGGAGGTGTGGAGTCAGAAAGTCCTTGCTCGAGGTCACAGAACTGGTTAGGGCTGGACTGGGCATTTCAGCCTGTGCCACCTCACATCTGTGGGATCTTAGTACAAAGCAAGACCGAGTCTGTGACCTGGAGGGTGGTGGCCCTTCCTTCCCACAGCCCAGGACAGCCAGGCCGACAGCCAACACCGTCACCCGGCTCACCGTCATGCGATGCGGCCTCTTGTCACCCGGCACCAGTCTCCCCTCTTGGCCTTAAACCCTGGGATTCTTTTCTCCCTCCCAGGAGGGCTCCGGGTCCAACATCTGCAGTGACCTCCCTCCTCCACGGAGAGGAGGGGGCTGAAATGAGATCTCAGGGAAAAGGGGGAAGACATTCCGAGCCCAGCTGGTTTCCCTCACACAATGAAGATCTGCTTAAATGGGAATTAGGATTAGTGCTGGGATTTGCCTCTCCGGGCAGAATGGTAATAAACTAATCTCCTCTCCGGCTGCAAGAAAGCAGAATTCCTGTGAAGACGGGAGACAGCTTCAGGCTCGGGAGCGCAAGAGCTGGGAAGTAATGCGGTTATTGACAGGCCTGCGCGCGCCGCCGACACGCAGCCCCCAGCTCCTTCCCCGTGTGGCTGCGGCCTGTAATTTCGTTAATGTGTGACATTCACCCAGGCTGCGTGGCTGACAGGCATGCTTGACATTAATACGTGTTCCTCGTGGTCCCCAGAGATCATAAAAGCTCATTATCAGTTCTGAGCCAGTAAATGTAGTTCCCGGCTCAGGTGGGCCTGAGTCTTCTGAAATGCCCCCCGGGCGGTGAAGCAGCGGCCATCTGCGTGAGCCAAGAAGTCTCCTCCTCCCTTTGTCCAGGGGACTGAGTCCCAGGCCCCAGGGAGGTGACAGGAACAGCCCTTCTGCCCACAGAACTCTGGCTTCCGATTTGCACCCCAGAAAAAGGGCTCCTCTGCCCTGTGATGGGAGGGGAGTCCACCCAGCATTTTGGGAAGGCAGTTTGTGTGCATCTAGTCAGAGCCTCTGCCCAGCCAACCCGCTTCTAGGCTTTGGAAGTGCATGGACATTTCCACGCAGAGATGTGGGGGTCACTGCAAGGTTGCAATGGCCGGAAACAGAAATACCCCACATATCCACGGGGAGGAGGAAACTGTATTGTGGTCCACAGGCACTCTGGGGCACTGCGCAGCTGTAGAAACGACTCTGAAGGTCTGTATAGTGTCACAGTCACAGGTAGACATGATATCCCTGATAAGCGGCCTTGTATGTAGAACATCTGTGGCAAGATCCCATTTGTATAAAGTCACACTGTCTGCATGTGGGCTCACATAGAGCGAGGTTTAGAAGAGCACACAGTACAGAGTCTTTGCAGAGATTCTATCTGTTAATTAGGATGCATAGGGAAGGAAGAACTTTCAGTGTGTAGTTAGAGAATTGTCGTTAGAAAATATATGTCCATGCATGTGTATATGTATCATGAATTCCTCTGATTGTAGCCTCAGTCTGGCCCCAGTGCATGAGGTCCCCAGGCTGACAATGTCTGGATGAATGAGCTAGAGGTAGAGGTGGAGGCAGTATCCTCCGGCCAAGCCCTGTTCCCCATCAGTTAGCAGGGAGCCCCGAGAATGCCCTCCGTGAGGACGGTGCACTGCAGAGCAGACCTTGCACTCACGGCTCTCCTGCTTGCACCTCTCACTGTGGAGGTGGCACTTGCACCAGGCTTGACTTCCCAGGGACCCGAGTTCTAGTCCTGGTTCTGCCCCCGTTCAGAGCTATGACCCTGGGCAAGTTATTTAATGCCCCGGAATCCCTGGTCCTCATCCCTGAAGCGGTAATACTTTCTCATAGAATTGGAGAGGGTGTCGTGCTGATTGTCATAATCGTTTGAGGTAGCCTGAAACTCGATCAGGGCTTCCACTGTGCAGCCTGGCCATTGAGGGCAGCCGGAGCGGGGACGGGGAGAGGGGAGGTCGGGGAACTTGCCTCTGTCCTGTCTGCTATAAGTTTTGCTTTTGTTCCTCAGCTGTGCACATGAATAACCTGGTCCCCTGGGACTGGCCTAAGCCCTGGCAGGCAGGTGTGTGGCCTGGGCACAGTGAATTTGATCCTTCTCCTGTGACCTGGGACTCAGTCATACGGTCAGAGGAAGTGGGAGGGGCGGGACTTTGGCCCCTGCACTCTGGGGCTGAGCTGTTTTTTCACCACCAACAGCCCCTCCTCTTATGACTTATCTCTTCATGGATTCCAGACCTTGAAAGGTTTGTTCTGCCCCCAAAGCCTGCTTTCATGAGGCAATGATTAATTCCCTTTCACATTTCCAAAATTACTCAGAGCGCCGTTTTTCCGCCTAAGGAAAATGGAGTTCCCACACCAAGTTGATAATATTCTAGCTAGAAGCAAAGAAACATGATGCGATGTTGTAATTAGCATCTCTCAAAGTCATCACATGGACGTTGCACAGGCTCTGGGGCTGATGTTAGAAGACGGAAAATATGCCCCAATCCGTAGGCCCTGGGGACGCCATCCTGGGAACCTGTGTGGGGCTGGGTGCTGAGTTCTGTCTTTCTGGCCATGGGGACCCTGTCTGGCTGCTGCACCTGCAGAGGTGCAAGGAGGGAGCATGCACTCAGAGAGCGGGTGCATATCTGGACTGAGCTGGCCCCCAGAAGCCCCAGGCCCTGCTAACCCACACCTTCTTAAAGCTCACTTCTCTCTCTCCTCCCTCCAGAGTGTCTTCTGAAGCCACCATCAGAGAGAGACCTCAAGAGAATCCTGCCACCCCTGAAAGAAAAGACCAGTTGAAAGAGGTATGATTTTGGCATCATGGTGGAGCGGCATCTCAACTCAGTCACATAAGAGGGTGTAATCTCCTCTCCTCTCCCTGCCCTCCAAGCCCGCCCTCCCTGAGTGAGAGAGCTCTCCACTCCTGCTGGGGAATGCAGGGCAGGTGAAGGCTCGCTTTACTCTTGTCACCACCTCAAATGTTTGTTCAGGAATGGGGAGCAAGTGTGATGTGTGGGGAGAGAGGCTGATGCTCAAGTGGGGGCTCATGAGGCTGGTTGCCCTGTTGAGGGGGCTGCAGGTCAGGGTTGCTCCTGAGTCCACCCAGGAAGTGAGGGCCGAGGGATTGGAGGGAGGGAGCCCTTGGAGGAGGGCTGCACCAGCCACCTGATGGCATTTGCAGTTTTGGTTGCCTCTGGTGCCCGTGGTCGGGAAGCACTGGGTTACTGTCCTCATCACTGATCTGAGAGTCCCCTGCTCTCCCAGTTCATCCTCTCACTTTCGGACTGTGCTGGCCAGCTAGGATTTTCCCAGCTGCAATCCAAGGCAGGTTGGCCAGCTCCCCGAGGCAGGTAAAGCGGGGCCAGACTGAGGTCCGAGTGGACAGCCTCAGAGGAGTGGCGAGGCCTGGCACCGGTGTGGGCTCTCTCTCCCCCTCAATAGCGCCTGTGCCCTGCAGCGCCCCAGCCTGGCCAGCTGTCGGGCCACAATCTTAATTGTAAGCCTCCTGCAGCAGATGCCCTATCCTCACAGGAAGCTATTGCCTTATCACAGCGCCTGGATCTTGCATTGCTTTCTTACTCAGGAGAAGGCTCTGAAGTGAGTCGGAAAAGGCTTAACTTCCCCAGGACCTTTCTGCTACGGATGTTTCTCTAATCAGAGGAAGCTGAGGGCCTGGGTGAACGAAGGGAAAGAATCTCCTTTTTTAAAGTATACTTTTACTGATTTCAGAAAGGAAGGGAGAGCGAGAAAGAGATAGAATCATCAATGACGCCCCACACTGAGTATGGAGTCCGAAACCCAGGCATGTACCCTGACAGGAAATCGAACCGTGACCTCCTGGTTCATAGGTCGACGCTCAACCACTGAGCCATGCTAGCCAAGAATTTCTTTAAGTACATGAAAAAGAATCAAGCGTGTTATTGTTCCTGGGTTATCTTCAGGGAAGCTGTGCAGGGAGTGGAGTGATTTAGCCTTACCCCTGTTGTTAGCCAGGAAACAGATCAATGTTAGAGTCACAGGAAAAATACAAAGATAACCATATGGCCGCAGGCTGACAGGCATGTGCTGTTGTGGGAAATGTTTGCTGGGGTTTGGGAGTCAGACTGGTGGAGTCCCAGCTCCGCCTTCTCAGTAGCTGTTTGACTTCAGGCGAGTGATTTGATCTCCCAGAGCCTCAGTTTTTGGCAAACCACTGGGTGGTTGTGAGGGCGAGGAAACTGCCAGCATGACATACCTGTTTGCTTTGAGCGATGGCAGTCCCCTGGAGTAATGTGGCCTCCCAAGGTGACCTCTTTGAAGAGGCGCAGGCTCTTGAGACGTGAGAGCTGGGTGTTATGACCAAACAGTGGGGTTACCCTGGAGACACATACCTCTTTCCGTGCCTGGTCTAAAAAAGGTCTGAGTATGGGACCTGGGTTGTGTCAGCTCTCGGTTCTGAGAGCTGGGGGCCACCTCGGGTATGAACTGTTCTTCCCGAGCCTTTATCCCGTGGTTTACACTTGGCCCTGATGATCTTCCCTGGACCCTGTCTGTAGATAATAGCTGATCCTCCCCTCAACCCAAGAAGCAGGTATTAATACAATTTTTATAGGTGAGGACAACTGGGGTCCCTAGAAGTAAATTACTCTAGGTTTCACCTCTAAAAAGCAGCAAGTTTATTAGGACCCAAACACAGGGCTCTTGCCTTAAGGGTAGTGTGCTTGCTATATCACCCCACAGCACCCCCAGTGGCCATGTGGCACCCCTGCGCCCCTACGGAGCACCCTGTGTGTGCCCATAGCTGCACCCCACAGCACCACAGTGGCTTCCCATGGCAGCACGTGCACTGTGGCTCCCCACAGGGCGCATAGAGGCCAGGAAGCACCCACAGGACTCAGCATCACCCCATAGAACTCATGGTAGTGCCCCTGTGTCCATAGAGCATCCTGCATGCCCACAGTGACACCCCAGGGTGCCCATGGTAGCACTCTTCCCATGTTCTCTACTTGGCTATGCATGGACTTTGCAAAAAGGGGAGTCCCTGGTGTCTGTATCTCCCAGCCAGACCTCTGCAATGGGCCGAGCTGGTGAGCCAAGGCAGTTTCTAGGAGGCATCGGGACCTTCCTCCTGCTGAGATCTGAGAGCGGGATCTTATATTTCGGTCCCTGATTCATTTCGAGTTAACTTTTGTTGTATATGGTGTGAGATAGGGGTCCAACTTCATACTTTTGCATGTGGTTATCCAGTTGTCCCAGCACCACGTATGGAAGGGATTATTCTTTCCCCCATTGAATAGTCTTGGCCCCCTCATTGAAAATCAGTTGGCCATAGATGTAGGTTTGTTTGTGGATTTGCAATTCCATTCCATTGGTCTATGTGTAGATACTAATGCCAGCACCATGCTGTGCTGAGTACTGTTGCTTCATGTGTAACTTTGGAGGAGTATTAATATATTTTAAAGCTCCCTAGGTGATTCCACAGTTGAGCACTACCGGTTTTCAGAGGAGGATGGGGCACTGTTATGGTGCCCAGTCGGGAGGCTGCTGGGATGACCCAGGGCAGTGCAGGGGGAGAAGATGCAGCCCTAAAGCCAAGCCACAATCATGGCAGTGAAGAGGCCATTATCGAGTTGAGAGAGGGGAATGAGGGAGACATCCTGATCCTCCCTGATTCTGGGGCGGCCTCATAGATGACAAAGGTGAGAACAGAGGCCAGTGTTTCAGGTGAGCTTGATTAAACTCCGACCCACACCTAATATGGTTTGGAGGAAGACCTGGGTCCCAGTCACAGCTCTGCTCCACTGTGTGACCTTGGGCTAGTTGCTCTACCTCTCTGAGCATCCTCATGGTCTCTGTAGGACCAATATTCTCTGCTATGCATGCAGAGGGTTGGGGGAGGTTCATATGGGTCACTCTATGAAGGCTGAAGGGCTTGCAGTGGTTCTCAATCTTCCTAATGCCGCGACCCTTTAATACAGTTCCTCATGTTGTGGTGACCCCCAATTTCATTGTTACAAATTGAACATAATTAAAGCATAGTGATTAATCACAAAAACAATATGTAATTATATATGTGTTTTCCGATGGTCTTAGGAGACCCCTGTGAAAGGGTCGCGACCCACATGTTGAGAACCGCTGGCTTACAGACAACTGAATTCGAGGTAGAATCTCCGCCCCAAAGTTCTTGCCAGGTGGTTGTCAATATCAGCCTCACCGCTTCCAGGGTTTGGGCTGATGGCCTCCATTGCGGCCTGTGCTGCCTGGGGCTGTCTTGGGCTGTCTCTATGGGTCAGAGTGTCTCCTTGTGCTGAGCTGACATCTATTTTCTTGTACCCTCCATCTAGTTACCCCAAATCTGCCTTGTGGGGCTGCATCACCCCTTTCCCTCCAGGCTGTTCTCCAGCATCTCTACCTCCCCCTTCTCATCTGCTGGCTGGAAGGTCCTAGTCACCTCTGCCTCCCTCTGAGGATGCCAGAGGGCGAGCATAGCTTTGGCATTAGATGAAGCTCAGGACCATTTTTTTTAGCTAGTTATTAGTTTGGGCAAATGAACTCAGTTTATTCTCCTGTTAGACGAAGAGAGTCATGACAATTGCAGACTCATGGTCAAGATTAAATGAGATGACGGTTGTCAAACATGTTGTCCACCGCCTCGGAAGGAATCCACATTCCAGAAAACGGTGGCTATCATTGCCATTGTCATCTGAACACCACCCCTCAGTTTTCTCTAATTCTGACTGGTGGGGTGCAAGCCCTGAGTTTAAGCACAGGAAGGGCCGCAGCCCCCAGGCCTCATCTGCCTTCCTGGCTTCCCCCTCGTTCTCTGTCTGGAACACGTATGCGAGGGGACAGGATGACAGGTTCTCACCACCCATTTCCTGCTCACTCAGCCCAATGTCTGCCAGAGCTTCTGGCCTCAGGCCAGCCTCACGTCCACATGGGACGCGTGGCAGCTCCCTGGTCCTTTTCTCCCTTCTTGGCCCTTTTCCATCCCAAACCCTTTCCTTCTTTTCTTTTTCAAGTTGTTTTACATTTACTCAGGAAGGTTCATCCCAGGGCCACATACCTGTTGGTCCTTCTAGGAGGCCAAGTCGGTGGAGTGTCCCCTCGGGGATGCCCTGTCTCCCTGGCATGGGTGGCTGGGAGAGCAAGGCCAGGCAGACCCATCACCGTGTGGGGTGACCTCCTTGACATCATGGAGAGATAAGAAGAAGTCTTCCTTTCCGCCATCTAAAGAGTGAGCAAATGATTGCTTTTCTGTTTATGCAGCAAAACTTAGCAGAAAGCCCGCCTAAGAGGCTTTTCTTTGTTGTTTTAAAATAATGACATATATACACAGTGTGAATCACAGCTGAATTTTCAAACACCCACCAGGTAGGGCAGAGAGGGAGGAAGACCCCAGGTGCAGATGCCATGTCAGCATTGGAGGGGGCCACATGGCTGTGAATGGCAGAGGTGGGCCTAGTCTGCCAGTCTTCCCGACTGGTGGTCACTTGGCCGCTCCCAGCTGCTTCTCTTATTAGTTAAAAGTGTAAAATAATACTTTGATGAATAGTCCTGGAATTCAGGAGCGAGTCCAGATCTGCCGGCAGTGTTGTTAGCCGTGGTAGTTTGTTACCTGCCCAGAGCTGCTGATGGGAGAAGAATGACCCATGCCATTCCCTGGGTTTGGGGACTTGCCGAGGTGCCTCCCTTTCTGGGGCATTCACAATAGCTAAACCGTGAAGCAAGTGTCCGTTGATGATGAATGGATAAGCATCTACCGATTTTCAGAGGAGGATGGGGCACTGTTATGGTGCCCCGTCGGGAGGCTGCTGGGCAGGGC